GTGTGTATCCATCTACCCCCAGGATTATTGTGACAATTAAGATAAAATAATGTGAGTAAACACCCAGTGTAAAGAAGGTGTTAAAAAAAAAGCTAACATTAAAAATAGCCAATGTTTACTGAGCTTTTTACCTTGTGAAGGGTGCTATTCTAAAAATTTTACATCTATTAACTCATGTAACCCTCACAGGGAAGCAAGGGCTATTGTATCTACATTTTATAGATGACAGAATTGAAGACCAGAAATTAAGTTACTAGGGCAGAACTTCTCAGCTAATATATGGGAGAGATTTTGAACCTAAGAAATCAAGCTCCTGAGCCTGTGCTCCTAACAGCAACACCAGACTGCTTTTCCCAAACTGCTGATATGGATGAGAATACAGGGCAGGTGCCCCTGCCTTGGTGTAGCCAAAATAACCCAGGTGGAAGTGTGGGTAGTCAAAATCTACAAAGCAAAGATCACTCCAGTTTCCACTGGGCACTGGCCCATCACTCCTTGGTTCTGTCTATGGGTTTAACCTCTGCTGCTTACTTGAGGCCCAATTTCCAGAACACTTGCTGTGCTGATTTTGTTGCTACTGTTTTTCTGGCAATTACTGCTTGCTCAAGAGAGTGGTCTGCTTAGTGATGGCGAAGAGAAATGTCCTATATATAGTAGGACACCCAAGGACCCAGCCAGGTAATAAAAATGTCTCAGGTTCAGTTCAATTCCAGAAGAAAATTTTGTGACCTTGGGTTAGGTGAAGATTTCTTAGACATGACATCAAAAGCATGAGCCATAAAAGGAAAAAATAATAAAATGAACTTTATTAAAGTTAAGAATTTCTCTTCAAAAGACACTATGTTAAGAGAATGAAAAAGAAGCCACAGATTGGGAAAAACTATGCAAAACATCTGATAAATATATATCCAAAATACATAAAGAATTCTCAAAACCCACTAAGTAAACAAACATAATAACTTAAAAATGGGTAAAAGATCTGGACAGATACTTAAGATATATAGATGGCAAATAAGCTTCTAAAAAGAGTTGCAACATTATTAGTCACAAGGGAAATGCAAATTTAAAGCACAATAAAATACCACCCCATAAATATCTGAATGACTAAAACTTTTAAAAACTTCATCAATGTGGACTACAGCTGCTGGAGCTTTCCAGGGGCCATGCCTCTGTGCCCCTCTGGAGCCAGCACCACCAAGCCCTCCCCCCAGCACTGGCATTGCTGCACAGGCACACCCTTGGAGCTGGTGTCCCCGGGACTGGCATCCCACATTGCCTGGACCCAACACAACAGTGCACCTCACCGAGGCAGCGCCCTCTTACCGACACACAAGTTAAGATCGTTCCCTAAAGAAGGCAGTCCATAAAGTCTGGAAGACGTGGCTACTTCTTCAAGTGTGAAGACATAAATGCAAGACTACAAGGAACATGAAATATCAAGGAAACACGATACCACCAAAGGAACATAATTTATAGTGATTGACACAAGGGAAGTGGAAATCTATGAAGTCTTGGACAAAGAATTCAAAGCAATTGTTTTTAAAAACAATTCAGAGAGCTACAAAAAGAAAATACAGATAATTCAATGAAATTAGGAAAACGATATATGAACAATAAGCAAACAACCCAAATAAAAAATGGGCTAAGAACCTGAACAGACTTCACAAAAGAATACATAGAAATGCCTAACAGGTATATGAGAAGGTGGTCACATCACTATCATCAGAGAAATGAAAATAAAACCACAATGAGGTATCATCGCATACCTAACAGGATGACTATAACGTTTTTAAAAAATCTTATTAAACTGACAATACCAAGTGCTGACAAGGATGTGGAGCAACTGGATTTCTCATACATTGATGGTAAGAAGGCAAAGTGGTTCAATCACTTTGGAAAATAATTTGGTCGTTTCTTATAAATTAAAACCTGCCGGGGTCCAACCCCAGCGGGTCCAGGGGTCCCCAAAGGTGTGGACGGAGTCGGCGAAGGAGGAATGAATGGCACAGAGGCAGTGTTCAGTTCATCAGCATAGTTGGGTTCTCTTGTCAGGATCTCCAGCCAGGTTCTATAGCCATGTTCCCTCGCTAGGTTCTCCAGCCAGGTTCTGTCCATG